CACACACACACACACACAGCCGTCTCCTCCTGTTCACACACACACACACACACACAGCTGTCTCTTCCTGTTCTCACACACACACACAGCTGTCTCCTCCTGTTCTCACACACACACACACACACACACAGCTGTCTCCTGTTCTCACACACACACACAGAGCTGTCTCCTCCTGTTCACACACACACACACAGCTGTCTCCTGTTCTCACACACACACACACAGCTGTCTCCTCCTGTTCACACACACATACACACGCACAGCTGTCTCCTCCTGTTCACACACACATACACACACACAGCTGTCTCCTCCTGTTCACACACACACACACACGCACAGCTGTCTCCTCCTGTTCACACACACACACACACAGCCGTCTCCTCCTGTTCTCACACACACACACACACACAGCTGTCTCCTCCTGTTCTCACACACACACACACAGCTGTCTCCTCCTGTTCACACACACACACAGCTGTCTCCTCCTGTTCACACACACACACACACACACACAGCTGTCTCCTCCTGTTCTCACACACACACACAGCTGTCTCCTCCTGTTCTCACACACACACACACACACAGCTGTCTCCTCCTGTTCACACACACACACAGCCGTCTCCTCCTGTTCACACACACACACACACACACACAGCTGTCTCCTCCTGTTCTCACACACACACACAGCTGTCTCCTCCTGTTCTCACACACACACACACACACAGCTGTCTCCTGTTCTCACACACACACACAGAGCTGTCTCCTCCTGTTCACACACACACACACGCACAGCTGTCTCCTCCTGTTCTCACACACACACACACACACACGCACAGCTGTCTCCTCCTGTTCTCACACACACACACACAGCTGTCTCCTCCTGTTCTTACACACACACACACACAGCTGTCTCCTCCTGTTCACACACACACACACACACACACACACACAGCTTTCTTCTCCTGTTCTCTCACCACACACACACATAGCTGTCTCCTCCTGTTCACACACACACACACACACAGCTGTCTCCTCCTGTTCTCACACACACACACACACAGCTGTCTCCTCCTGTTCACACACACACACACACACAGCTGTCTCCTCCTGTTCTCACACACACACACACACAGCTGTCTCCTCCTGTTCTCACACACACGCACACACAGCTGTCTCCTCCTGTTCACACACACACACAGCTGTCTCCTCCTGTTCTCACACACACACACACACACACACACAGCTGTCTCCTGTTCACACACACACACACAGCTGTCTCTTCCTGTTCTCACACACACACACACACACAGAGCTGTCTCCTCCTGTTCTCACACACACACACACACACACACACACACACACAGCTGTCTCCTCCTGTTCTCACACACACACACACACACACACAGCTGTCTCTTCCTGTTCACACACACACGCACAGCTGTCTCCTCCTGTTCTCACACACACACACACAGCTGTCTCCTATTCCCTCCCTACCTTGTGCACAGCTGTCTTCCTGTCCTGGCAGTTGGGGTCTGGTTCTTCCTGCTCCCTGCCTGGTGCAGGTGGGTAGGCTGGGTAGCCTTGTGAAGCAGGTCCTTCAGGGTTACCCTGTCCCTGCCCCCAAAGCAGGTGTAGTGGCCAGGCTGTTGCCCCTGGCTGGGTCAAGGACTTAAGAATGAACATAGCATCAGAGGGCCCGGCCAGGCCAGGCGTCTGGTAGCACAGTGGCGTGTGGGCTCCGTGGTCCCTGCTGCTTGCACGCACACTCGTCAGCGCTGGCTCACCTTCATGAGCAGGTGGTGGTTTCATCACTTCACCAGAGGCAGTCTGCACCTCTGCCCCGTGCCGTCTACAACCCGATGGAACCCAGCTGCGATGCTGCCACTGAGCAGGCGGACACCTGGGCCCACCACATGGCCACCACAGCTCACTCTGCGCTCGTCCTGTTGGTTTCCAGTGGAAGCAGATGCCAGCCACATGTGCTGCGCCAGGCCTGCACCTCACGTTCTTCCAGGACAGCTCCTGAGTGCGGGCGCTGCCAAGCAGCATTCCAGGCCTGGTGTCTGTGGGGAGCATGAGAAGACCCCAGCCGGATGTGGCTGTATGGGGCAGTCACCTGTGCGCACCATCCCTTGGTAGTAGTTGTCCATCCAGAGGCCCCCAGGGGGGGCCCTGAAGAGCAGTGGCCTCCAGAGAGGGGGCTCAGGGTTGGCTGGGATGCCCGATGCCTCCGTGTTTCCTAGCCCACTTGCTTTATGCCGGCTCGGGGCCGCGGTGACAGGGCTGGCCGAGGGGTGGCTCGCGTCACGCAGGTTCATTGCCTTGAAGTTGTAGAGGCCCTGGCGGCGGCGGTGGTGGCCGTGCACCTCCCCCCCTCAGCGAGAATGTGCCGGAGCCTCGCCTCTGGTTTCTGGTGACCGCCAGCCATCCTCCGGGCGCATCTGTGCTTGGAGCAGCGTGCTCCGGGCTCTGCCCACTGTGTTCACATGGCTTCGTATTGTCACATTCCCTCCCCTTGCAGGGACACAGCTATCCTGCTGTGGTCATGGTCCGTTTCAGACTCAGGTTGTCTTTTGGGGGGACACAGATCCACATTTCTTAGGACTATCAGCCGTTTCACCGTCTCTGGCTTTCTGTTCCGCCGCAGTGCTCGGTGGGGGCACCCCGACCCCCCCGCTCCGAGGGCGCTGGGGGCAGCGGCGCAGGCGGCGCAGACAGACGTGAGCAGGGCCCTTCTCTCTGCAGGCAACTCGCAGTACAGCCAGCAGCAGGCCGGCTACCAGCAGGGCTCGGCGCAGCCGCAGACATACCCCCAGCAGCAGTATGCCAACCAGCAGAGCTATCCCGGGCAGCAGCAAGGCTATGGTAAGAAGAGGGGAGCAGGTCACAGCACACTGCTCTCCCAGGGCCACCACACGGTACTGCCCTCCGCTTCCCGCCTCGGAGCTTGTGCGGTCTGTGCCGAGGGCGTACACAGTCACGTGGCACAGAACTCCACTGGCTTTCCCTGTCCTTGGAGTGTCCTTGAGCCCCGGCTAGGACCCCTCGTGACTTCTTCTTTGGGTGTCTCTTCACTGGAAGCTTCTTGCTTTGCCCATCATTTATGGTCTGGACAGCTTTGGAGTGGGCTGGCCGCCCCTTGAGGAGCCCTCCATGGGGTTTGCAGGCAGCTTTCCCCCAGGGGAGACCAGGTCACCTGGGAGAAAGCACCAGGGCGGGCCCTTCCAGGCACCGTGACCCGCACGGCTCACCTGTGGCGCGGGCCCTCTTCACCTGGCCTGCGCTGTGTCTGCGGGTGTGTCCCTGTCGCGTTCCTGTCTCCTGATTATCTGACCCTCAGAAGTGAGTCCCCAGTCCCATCCAGACGGTCAGTAGGTGGGATTGCCCTTCTGTCCTGATGCTCCCCTTCCCCCCCCTCCCCCGCCCCTGGTTGCTCAGTGATTTGTCAATCTCGTATGAGTGCACGGATGTTAACTCCACCTGTTGGTTCAGCTAGGACACCTCTGCTTTTGCAGCTTTCATCTTCTGCCAGCTGCTCCTGCGTCTCTGGCATGCCTTGTCCTTGTGGTTTGTGTCCTTGTGTTTTCAGTGTCTTCCCTGCACCTCCCGAGACCAGGTGCTTCTTTGGGGAGCCTGGCTCCCCCTGGTGGAGAGGAGCAGGGAGGCTGGGTGGGTGCAGGTGGGTGTTTAGCATGATTGCCTCTCCCTCACCTGGCTCAGCTGGGGCGTGCAGTCGGGCTCCATGTCCGAAGAGCCCTCCTCTCAGAGTGTCTTCCCCTCTGAGGGTGCTGATGCCACACCCGGCCAGCAAGTTTGCCATAGACACTGCTGTCAGGAACCCAGGGAGGCAGGTGAGTGGGCAGCGGGGAGAGCGTCAGGCAGAGGAAGCCCTCTGGCATCTGTAGGCGGGAAGCAGAAATCCACTTACCAAAAGAGCCACAGACACGGAAGCTCGTCCCTGGGGAGGCCTCCTCCCTGGGGAGGCTGGGCCTCAGGGTCTGTCCCAGCTCTGCTCAGCTGTGGTGTGCCCTGCCCACCAGTCCCACTGGACTCCTCCAGGGTATCGGCCCCCTCTGCAGGTCTTGGCTGTCTGCTGGCACTCTCCAGAAGCCCCAGCATTCTGAGACACGCCCAGAGCCCAGGGTGCACTGCGTGCAGTCGGGGAGGGCACTTCTGTGAGGGCAGTGGTCAGGTCCAGAGCAAACAAGAGTCAGGAGTTGTCACAAAGCGCCACACCGACTAGCCAGAACAAACGGATTGGTTGATCCATTGTGCTGGAGGTTAAACCAGAGCCTTATCTATGCAAAGAACCCAGCCAGAACAGCTTTTAAAAATAAGGAGGTGGGGGCTGGGAAGGTGGCTCAGTGGTAGAACCACTTGCCTTGCATGCCTGAGGCCCTGGGTTCGATTCCTCAGCACCACATAAGCAAAAAGAAAAAAGCCAGAAGTGGCACTGTGGCTCAAGTGGTAGAGCGCTAGCCTTGAGCTGAAGAGCTGAGGGACAGTACCCAGGCCCAGAATTCAGGCCCTACGACCGGACCCCCCAAAAAAATAAATAAGGAGCTGGTGCCAGGGGCCTGGGCTCATGTCTGTAATCCTAGCTACTCAGGAGGCTGAAATCTGCAGATCATGGTTCAAAGCCAGCCCAGGCAGGAAACTCCATGAGACTCTTATCTCCAATAAAACACTAGAAATCCAAAAGTGGTGCTGTGGCTCAAGTGGTAGAGCACTCACCTTGAGCTGAAGAGCTGAGAAACAGCGCCCAAGCCCAGAGTTCAGGCCCCATAACTAAAAATAAATAAATAAGGAGCTGGGTATCAGCTTATGCCTGTAATCCTAGCTATTCAGGAAGCTGAGATCTAAGGACCATGATTGGAAGCCAACATGGGTAGGGAAATCTATGAGACTGTACCTGCAGTAAAACTGCTCAGAAGTGGCACAGTGGCTCAAGTAGTAGAGCACTAGCCTTGAGCACAGAGGCTCAGGACAGCACGTAGGCCCCGAGTTAAAGCCCCAGGACTGGCAAAAAAAAAAAAATTTAATAAAAAAATATATTTTGACCTTTATGACCTTGACCAATTAACACTTTATAAGCTGTTGGTATTAAGTTATAAGAGTAGAGCAGAGGGCTGGGAAAGTGGCTCAGTGGTAGAGCGCTTGCCTTGCATGCATGAGGCCCTGGGTTCAATTCCTCAGTACCACATAAGAAAAAAGCCGGAAGTGGCGCTGTGACTCAAGTGGTAGAGCGCTAGCCTTGAGCTGAAGAGCTGAGGGACAGCGCCCAGGCCCAGACTTCAGGTCCCATGACCAACAAAACAAAACAAAAACTTAAGAAGGGTTGGGAAGGTGGCTTAGTAGTAGAGTGCTTGCCTGGCATGCATGAAGCCCTGGGTTCGATTCCTCAGTACCATATAAACAGAAAAGCCAGAAGTAGTGTCTGTAGCTCAAGTGGTAGAGTGCTAACATTGAGCAAAAGATGCTCAGGGACAGTGCCCAGGCCCTGAGTTCAAGCTCCGGGACTGGCAAAAAAAACTAAAAAAATAAAAATTAGCCAGGTGCCATTGGCTCACACCTGTAATCCTAGCTACTTAGGAGGCTGAGATCTGAGGATCACAGTTCAAAGCCATCCTGGGCAGGAAAGTCCCTGAGACTTATCTCCAATAAACCACAAGAAAACTGGAAGTAGTACTGTGGCTCAAGTGGTAGAGCACTTGCCTTGAGCTGAAGAGCTGAGGGGTAGTGCCCAGGCCCAGAGTTCAAGTCCCATGACAACAACAACAAAAAACTTAAGAGACTCCTGCCCTGTATCAGTTTAGCTTAGTTTTCATCAGAGCACTGGTGTGTTTCTTCTGTGTGCCGCTCTCTCCAGCTCCTGTCCTAGTTCAGATGTGAGTTCACAGCATCCACTCCCTTCAGAGTAACCCGACCGAAGCAGCAGGCAGGCTGGGCTGAGGGCCTGTCTGGTAGGGCACAGTTTTGGGCTTTGCAGGCCTGGCCAGCCAGTTGCGTGGCTCCCTTGCCATACAGCTGCTCATTACAGCCGGTGTGGGTGTTGGTTGGGTGTGTGGTGTTCCCTGCTGGGGAGCGCTGGCTGGCCTCACAGCCCCTCCCCTTCTGACCCCCCCCCCCCCCGTCCCCACAGGGCCTGCTCAGGGCGCCCCCTCGCAGTACTCCAGCTACCAGCAAGGACAAGGCCAGCAGTATGGGAGCTACAGAGCCTCACAGACGGGACCCTCTGCCCAGCAGCAGCGACCTTACGGCTATGAACAGGCAAGCTTTCTGGATGTTTCCAGGCATCCCGGACCACTGTGTCTGTGGAGGCAAAGGAACTTTGCTCTGTGGTCACGAGGAATAGTGGGATGGAACTAACTGGCTTCCAGCATCGGTTCTCCGGTCCTGTGAGGTCTTTAAGTCAGCTCTTACTTGCTTATCCCACACAGCCAGCTTCTCCCTGCTGGACCTGCATGCATTCAGCTGCATATGTTTATTGTGCACCTGGCGGGAGTCGGTCACTGCTGGATGCCGGGACAGGGCTGGGGCAGGGCTCTGCTTGTTAGCCAGCGAAGTGGCCACTCCCGCACAGGAGCCACACTGCTCCGGGAGCCGAGGGTCAGTAGGGGCCCAGCAGAGGAAGCTTGGGCAAGAAGCTTATGGGTTAGGGCTTGTCTGCAAGTGATGTCCTTCAGTGCTGATAGTTACAAGAAGACACAACAGAGGGCTTGAGCTACCCAACTCCAGCCTACCGTTTCCCTGAACAGCATTCCTCTCCCTCCCCCCTCCTCCTCTCTACCCCCCTTCTCTTTCCCTTCTCTGTCATACACACACACATAAACTCCTTGCTTTGCCACTTAAAAAATAAGACGCAGCTGGACTGAGCTAGGGACTGGGCTGACTAGGCAGCTGGAGGCTGCTGTGCGTGTAGGCGGGGAGTGGCCCGGGTGAGCAGGAGGGTGGGGGGAGGTGGTGGGGACGGGCAGGGGATGAGAACCTGCTCCTTGCTCTGAGCGGGGCAGCGCCCTGGAGGAGGCAGGTCTGCAGGCCAGGACTGCGGGTGGCTTAGGAAGGGAATATGCCGAGGCCCTGGGGTTAGATCACCTGCTCTGCTCAAGACATGGAGAGGAAGGCTTGGTGGGGGGGGGGGGCAGGAGGAAGAGGGTGGCCTTGGGCGTTGTCTGCAGCCTCCTTTGAGGAGTTCTTGGTGTCCGTGACATTTATACAGCCAACCAGTGTCCAAAGCACTGTGTGCCTTCTGCTGGTTTTCTATGAAAGCCAAGTCGATGTTGCTCCTCACCCTGCTGTGTAGCACATGCCAAGAATCAACGCGCATGATGAGGCAGGAGGGTCACAAGTTCGAGACCAGCCTGGGCTAAAGAGAACAGAGAGTGTGAACAGATCGGAAGCCTGGCAGCAGCACAGTATAAAGCCAGGCCACGTGCCCCGTGAGCGGCCATGCTGTACAGGCTGGCACGGAGACCCATGGGTCCACCTGGCGTTCTGCCCTGGGGCAGCACGTGGCATCCAGGAGCTCAAGGGAGATGCCGGTGAGCCGGCCTCCAGCCAGGCCCGGAAAGGATGCCTTTGGGACTTAGGGAAAGATGGGCTGACGTTTGCCGAATTACAGACGGGATGGACAGTGTGCAGATTGGCAGCAGCACAGGGAGGGAGGTGCCGGCCCAGAGCGCCTGCCCTTGCCCGAGAAGCAGGGTTAGCCGTGGGGGGGGGGATCTTCCTGGGCAGCTGGTCAGGTGAGTCTGGCAGGTCCACCGGGCACTGTGCGCGGACAGTGCATGGCACTCCGCCCTCACGCTGAGCCCCTTCCACCATCTTGAGCAGGACAGAGGCACCTGGCCTCGGGGCCCTCTCGCAGCCCCACCGTCCCGGGCACACCTCACCCCTGCCCTGCCAGACCTGGCCAGGCCTCATCTGCACAGACCACAGCACCCTGGGCTGCAGAGCTCCGGCTGGGGGCGCTGCTCCCCTCCAGAGCGGTGGCTAGTGCTGCGGCCTGGTCCCCAAGCAGTGCCAGCTCTGAGCGTGAGGACATAGGTCACAGATCTTACCAGCAGCACACACTGATGCTCACCTCCCAGCGGACCCCCAGCCCTTCCCCTCCCGGCCTCCTCCTTACCGGAGGCCTGGTGACACCACACAAGGCGAGCGGCATTGTCCTTATGCCAGCATCTTCAGAGCACCTTTCCCTTGGCCAGTGGCTCACGTGGCTTCTGTCTGCGGCCCTGCCAGACACAGGTGCGGCTGCACATCCGCCCTCCTCAGATGTCATGCTGACTGACCGTATCCTACGTGGGCGTGCTGAGTGGTGGCGCACTGGCCTTGCTGCCTGTCACGTGCAAGAACTCAGCGCCTAAGAACTTGCCTCCTAGGCAGGCCCCACGCTCAGGGAGCCAGCACAAGACTGAGTGAAGAAGCCCCGTGACCCTCTCTGATCTAAATGAGTGACAAGGATGGGGGTGGCCCCTCCCTGGTGGGTTGGAGCGGAGGTTGCCTGCCTGCCTCCTTCGTACCTCAGCCCTCTTATCCTGTGACTTGGGAGGAGTCTGCCTTCGCAGCGGATAGAGCGTTTACTGGGACCAGGAAGGTGTAACCTGTGTCTCCATCTCTTTTAGGGCCAGTATGGAAACTACCAGCAATAAGGGACAAGCGTTCTTGTTGGAGCCTTTGTGCGATGCATTCTTCGGGAGATGGACAGGCCGGTGGCAGTTCTCAGAACTGTGGCCTGCCGGCCACCCTTCACCCAGTGCTGCCTCTGCATGTGAAGCGTGCTCAATTCACGCTGGGTGTGGCGCGTGCGTGCGTGCTGCCGGCTGAGCTGGCTATGAGGGCACAGTGCCCGGCGCTGTGTGTGGTATTGTCTGTCGATGCGGCGGCGAAGTTCCTTTCTTGTCCCCACCCCTCCTCTATGTTTCTAGCTAGCTTTGGGGATCATTTTGTCATCAGTGTTCTGTGCCTGGTAATGGGACGCTATCTAAGAGACTGTCTAGTGTGCACATTCACACCAGCACCCGGCCTGACCCCCTCTCCTCTTATGATTGTTGCCACATGGGTTGGTTTTGTTTTTTTCTTTTTTGCCTGGAGCTCCAACTCCAGGCTTGGGCGCTATCCCTGAGCTCCTTTTGCTCAAGGCTAACACCCTACCACTTGAGCCACAGTGCCACTTCCAGCTTTTTCTGTGATTAATTGAAGCCTGGGCTGGCTTCACACCATGATCTTCAGATCTCAGCCACTGAGGAGGATTACAGATGTGACCCACCAGCACCTAGCTTTTTTCCTTTTCTTTTTTGCCAGTGCTGGGGCTTGAACTCTGGGCCTGTGCGCTGTCCCTGAAGTTTTTCACTCAAGGTTAGTGCTCAGCCACTTTGAGCCACAGTGCCACTTCCGGTTTTCTGGTGGCTAGTTGGAGATGAGATTCTCACAGAATTAACTGCCCAGGCTGGCGTTGAACTGCAGTCCTCAGATCTCAGCCTCCTGAGTAGCTAGGATAACAGAGGCGAGCCACTGGGGCCTAGCTGGGGGGTTTCTTTGGCTGTGTGTAGCTGGACACGGCCCTGAGGGCCTCCTCTTCCCGAGCCTCCGTGCAGGCTGGGAAAACCTGTGTCTCACACGAGGTTTTGTTCTGCGGTGACAAGGATAACATGCTTCATCTGGAGAGGCTGTGATCCATCCTTTCTAGAGCGTGCCTGTGTCTATTGCCAGTTCCTGTTACCCCAAAAAGTCTGTCTTTGTATGAGAGAGCAATGAGGCATTGGTGAGTTCTGAGTCAGCGTGTTCGTCAGGGTGGAGCACGTGAGGTGCCACCCAGCGTGTCCGGGCCGTGCGCACGGGACCGGCCACCCCACTGGGGCCTTGGAAGGCAAGGGGCATCTCCCACTCGGCTGTCAAGAGCTGTACTTCTGTGCTGTCATTTCTAGGATTTGAGTTTTTAGTATGCCCAAACCTAGTCTATACATAGTTTAAATTATTCATACCAATTTCCAAACAGTGGCAAGTTGTTTGGTTTTTTATGTTATTTCTCCTAGGACCTGTTTGTTCAGATTTCCAAGCAATTGTTCCTTTACTTGCAGTAGCTATTTGAATTCCACATCCCAGTTTTAAAACAATCCCAATAATTTTACTGTGTTCTTAGAAAAAAAAAGGTTTTATATAGTGAAATCTGAGTAACTTTTACATCCTAGAACATTTAACTTCAATTCTGTACAAACTTGGAAAATTATGGTCAAAGGAAAAATCCTCCATTTTTACTAATATAGCAGCATAGGGGTATTTGATCAACTCTTACTTAGATGATAATCACATTACTATGAATCCTTTTTTAAAATCTTAGGACAAATGATGCTTTCCAAACTTGACATATGAGGTCTGTGGAAGCTGGTGTTTTTCTTAAATTCATGTTTTATGTTGAACAGATTAGTTATCTATCCAGACTTGAATGCTTTACGATTTAAAAGCCCTTCTCTGGTTTTCTTGTTTGGATGAATCCAGACGGCTTCTGGTGCGCAGTGGAGCAGCACTGTTTCCCTTGCAGATGAAGAATTGAGGTCAGGTGCAGACTTGGTGGCTGACGGCTAGTCTGCACTTTCTGTGAGAATGTTCTAAAACATTCTCCCCCCTGCTGTTGAACGTATCAGCACACTTGGGCACATAAGCATTTATTTTGTAGGCAGAGGGTTTAAAAACCCTTAACACTGATAAGGGCTTGAAAATGTGTATGTCCACATTTACTAAGTTACAGAAATGAGAGTTCTTAATTGCTAAATGACAGAAACACTAGCAGTTTCATTTAGGGAGTGATCTATCCCTTCCAACTTGCGTCTTTTTTTTTTTTTTTCTGGAAGTGTCTACACAACTAATTTGCAAACTCAGTCAGAGACTGAAATTGCCCACCGAAGATGTTAAGTATTATAGAGAACTGTGAAAATGGTTTTTCTTCTTCCTTGCCAGTCTGGGAATATGCTGTGGGGTGTGTGTGTGTGTGTGCGTGTGCGTGCGTGTGTGTGTTAATTTTAAGCACTGTATGAATACTTTTTGCAAGAAAAGGTCACTTAAAAAAGAATCACCCAAACTTCAATCTGAATTGTCTTACATTAAGAATGTCTTGAATGTTGTGTATATATTTTAAAGAGCACTTTGTGAAATAGTTTGTACATGTTTCTTAATTTATACTTGATTTCGGCGTTGCTGTATTTAATGATGACTGACAGATGTCCTTTCGTGTTTCCTCCGTTTCATGTACCCTGTGGGAAGGTGACGTTGCTGGACGGTCCTGGACGGCCGGCGAGCGGCGGGGACGGACGGGAGTCGCGGCCCCCGGGAGAGCGGCGATGGACGCGGCCGGCGGCCCGCGGCGGGCACCTCCGGGCCTCGGCCTCCGACCCTCCCCGGGCCTCGGCCTCCAACCCTCCGGGCCTCCTCCCCCCGTCAGGCGGCCCCTGGCTGGAAGGCCAGGCGGCCCTCGACCCTGTCCGTCTCATTAAACCGTTTTTAGCCGTTGCTTCTGTTTCCTGTGCCGGTCGCGTCCTCCCGGTGAGCGCCGCGGGGAGAGCGGTGCAGTCCCCGCGCGGGCGGCAGGGGGCGCTCCCGCCGCGCGGCCCCCGGGCTCTGCGCAGGCGCGGTCAGGTCCGCCCCGGAAGCAGTCGGCCGCGGCGGGCGTCCCGGAAGTCGTGGCTCGGAGCTGGTGGGTGCGGGCGCGCGGGGCGCGGGCGGCGGGCAGGGCCCGGCGGGTTAGGGCGGGGGTGCGGCGCCCGGCAAGGTCGCTGTCGGTCGTGGTCGCTCCGGGAGTTGCGCTCCCTGCGCCCGCGGCGGGGCGGGACGGCGGCGGGAGGGGACCAGCCCGGGCCCCAGCCCAGCTCCCAGACTGTATCTTCTTAAGAAAAGAATAAATCAGAGTCCTTTTCCCCTGTTGGATGGAAATACGGATGCCAAGAGTTTCAGCGAGGGATAACCAGCCCGGGCCCCAGCCCAGCCCAGCCCGCGGCGGGGCGGGACGGCCGCGCGGGGACTAGCCCGCGGCGGGGCGGGCTTCGGGCCGGTGCCAGTGCCGTGTGTCCCGATTGCTTTTCCCGTTCCCAGCTCTGGGTTCTTCGAGGCCGAGTCTCACTGCAAGGCGCGCTTGCGTGTCCTTCCGCCTGCTCCAAGGAGCCGACAGCCCCGGCTGGCCTCGGCTCCAGACCCTCAAGGGCTGCGCTTAGCCTGTGCACCTCCACGTCCCCTCCGAGGAAGGCATCCTCAGCCTACAGGAGCCATGCAGATGAGGTTCCTGGCATTATCCTGTGGGCCAGCACACAGGAGCTTAACGTTTTCTAGAACCACAGTGTCAGGGTCTGGTGTGGAGCCCTTACCACGTACGAGTGCTGTTCCTGACTGGACTTTGCAAAAGCTCAGTCAAAAGTTCAAGAGACTCTCATCTTAACCAGTGAGGGCTGGGCATGGGGGCATGTATCCGTCATCCGGGCTCCATAAGAAAGTGTAAATAGGAGGATCATAGTCCGAGCTAGTCTCTGCATAAACAGTAGATCCTATTTTTAAAAAGAAAAATTATCTAGGCCAGGCCCTGTGGCTCACACCTGTCATTCCTACCTACTCAGGAGGCTGAGATCTGAGGATCACAGTTCGAAGCCAGCCTGGGCAGGAAAGTCCATGAGACTCGTATCTCCAGTTAACCACCAGAAAACTGGAAGTGACACTGTGACTCAAGTGGTAGACCACTAGCCTTGAGCTGAAGAGCTCAGGGACGGCACCCAGGCTAAGTTCAAGACCCACGACTGACTAAAAAAAAGAAAGTCTGTGAGGCTCTTCATTTAACCACCAAAAAGCCAGAAGTGCCGCTGTGGCTCAAAGTGGTGGAGCATTAGCCTTGAGTGAAAGAGCTCAGGGACAGCACCCAGGCCCTGAGTTCAAACCCCATGACTACCACCACCCCAAAAAAAGAAAATTAGGAGAGAGGAAGGGAGTGACATTGTCTCAAAAGAAATGTACTCTTGGGGCTGGGAAGATGGCTCAGGGGTAGAGCGCTTGCCTTGCATGCATGAGGCCCTGGGTTTGATTCCTCAGCACCACATAAGCAGAAAAGAAGCCGGAAGTGGTGCTGTGGCTCAAGTGGTAGAGCGCTAGCCTTGAGCTGAAGAGCTGAGGGACAGTGCCCAGGCCCAGAGTTCAGGCCCCAC